ATGGCAGAGGGGAACTGAGGAGGTGGATGTGTGTTGGCCAGAAAACGGAAGATATGTTTAATGGGATGAATTTGAAAGGGCTGACCTAGCAGGAGAACTTGAGTTAAAGGTAGTGACCACTGAACCAGCAGAGGAATAGAAGCCAGTTGGAGAAAGAGGGACAATAAAAGCAGCAGGGTCAAAAAAATTGATGGATTGGGGGCTTAGAAAGAGCTGAAAGATGAAGTGGTTAGTGATTTGTGGAGGAATGATTTATGTGCACACAGAGCAAGGATCAGTGTATTAGACTCAGTGTCTAGGAAACAGAATCAAAACCAGGACTTAGTAAAAACTCACTGGAGGTCTGCTGAAGCTGAGACAGTAGCTGCTGCCTTGACATGAGAGACGTGACAAGGACAGTGAGAGAGAAAACAGGCAGTTACTTTCACCTTAAATCAGCAAAGGCGTGATGGCTGAGCTCAAGAACCACAGCAGATTTCTGTAATATGGTTAGGGTTGTAATTACATTGGCAGCCAAGATGCAAAACATTTCCCTGTATTCCTACCCTGAAATATGGCCCCTGCAATCTACAGGCGATGTCCTTTCTGAGCTCCTAAGCAGTGCTTTGGCACTGGGTTCTTGTTACTCACAGTAGTGTGGCAGTGAATTATCACTGAAATAAGTTGTGTTACATCCACTTCTGTTTTACAAAAGCAAGGAGAGAATCTGGCCTCATTTTAAATAAATGCAAAAAATGCATAAGGCACCTACCTGTCTATTGTCTCTGACATTTACTCTTCCCCATTTCCTCATCGCTGTAATTATTGCCTAGTCCTGTACAACTGTGCTGATAATGTTAAACAACAAACTTACATGGTAAGTTTTTTTCTGATGGAATAGATAGGAACTGGATGTATTGAGAAACTTCTAGGGACAGATTGGAATTCTAGTTGTAAAAACACTACTTCTGTACCAAAGACTGTGTACCAAATGCCACAGGATTTTGTAATGAGAGAAAATGTAATCTCATTTTAAAGTAAAGAATTACAAATCTTCTAGTAATTGTATCACAGGATTTTACATGACAGCTGCTGAATATATTGTTGTTGGTATTTACATACAGCACTTGGAAGTTAGCATGAAGATGAAATTAATCTTTTTTTCCTCAGTGTCGAAGGAAGCCTGCACAGGTTCTGCTATTCCTTAAAATAAGTTACTATATCCAGCAACCAACATGCACTTTTTAACTGAAGCAAAATTGAATGAACGACTGTGGTGTGAGTGGTTTGGTGGGTGAGGACATAAAGGCTTCAGTTTTAAGAATCCAGTTAACTCTAAACAGAAGTCTCAGAATGAACATTTTTTTTGCGGAACTAATACATACCATAAAACCTCCACACAGATTTTGGTAAGACTCACAATAATTGTCACTGTTGCTTAAAATGGATAAACTCAAGTGCTGAATGCAAATATTTTCTCCTTCATGAGTACACACTGACTTTTAGTTACCTGTGGATGTTCTAAGTATATTTACCGGGTAACAACTGAAACACATTCAGCTGGTAGGTAATTTTTGTGATCTAAAGAACTCAGGTATACCAGATTGCATGTTAATCAACTCCATTTTGAATGAGGCAACTGGAAAAGACCATCTCAGTTATATTTATTACATTTAAATAAAACTCTACATGTGTAAAGAAAATATAAGCTGTTTGTTTAAATCATTAAAACAAAAGACCTTAAAGAATAACAGTAACTAAACTTTACAATTCTCTTAATAGTAGCCACTCCATTTTTCATCATGACAGATGTAATCAGAACATACACCTATGAGCTGGGTAGGACCAAATTGTTTGATTTACAGCAATACAAGTATTAAAATGAATGCCAAATATTTTTTGCCTTGGAAAAAAGTATAATGTTTGTTAGATGTATGACACTTGGTGTCTTCTGATACTTCAGATAACAAATTATGGCCTGAAGACTCATTCCTTCAGAAATGCTAAACATAATTAATCCCAGTAATTAAACTGAAAACATTTGCTTCATAAAATTAACAGCTTTAGCCAGACCTACATGAAAATTCATGTAATTTTTCCATTTGAATAGCAGAGCTTTAACTTAAAAGTAATTAACTACATATTAGAGACCTACTGTTTTGATTTTCTATGAATATAGATTGTTCAAAGAAGTTATACTACATTCTAATGACGGATGACACAGTTCTACCACAACCAAAAAGTAACTAAATAGTTAATATTACGCTGAATGTGAACTGAAATTGGATTCTAAATTAAAGACCTTTATACGGCTGACAGTTATATTTCAAATTTTCATAAGTCTACCTAAAAAAGTTTTCTTTCTCTCATACTGTGCAGAAATCTGTGAGCACAGCTATGCCCTTTTCTTCCACTGAAATGTAGATATTGAACAGTCATTTAGTTGGAAATGATCAGATTTAATAATACTGTCTGATTCTCAGCTGCTGTTGATTGCTCTGGAAGAACAAGATTAAAAACTTGTAAGTGTGAAATCTAGCTGTCTGAAAGCGAATAAAAATGGACTCCTTACAAGGAAAATATGTGTAATGTAGTCAGTTTAACTGATCAATTTAAATATTTAAATGTGTGGCAGATTTATATCCTGTACCTAAAAATATATCCAAACTATGCTAAGAGTGAAGCCATTTCTCAGACTGCACACTTTCATGGGCTCTATTCCTCTACTGTTCTCGTAACTGTGATGTTAATTACCAAGTAAAGGCATGATAATATGAAACCCTTGTTCAAAACCTACGCCATGCACAAGTACTCCTTTAATCCTCAAACAGTATGGGTATTGGTGTGGCTTAAGTATTTCACATTACAGGCAGAACATTTTAAAACGTAACAGCAAAACAGTCAAATGATTGAATTCAGAGCTGACAGAACATATGAAAAAAACCATAAATGCATACTTCATTTGGCCTTTTCTGCCTATTGTGAGATTACTCAATTTAAATAATGTTTATTTCAATTACCTACTTTTATTTGGCTCCTTTTAGAGGAGTGAAAAGGGATGCCCACCGAATTTTGGGTACAGACAGAAAATTAGATGTCTGCATGCAAAATTCCCTATCAGCCTACCCAAACTGGCCCATGATTTTTGCAGGAATGGAACTTTCCTGGTGCAGGGGGTGCTCTTTCTGAAAATCTCAAAGTTACAACAAAACAGACATTATTTTAAATTTTACATTTTCATTCAAGTTTCTTGAAAAACCACAGTCCTCATGATCAAAAGTATTCATTCATGGTGAAGCAAGTAATAAACCCCTAACGACTGGCTTATTTGTCTATTCCCACAAGAAATCTTGCAGGAAGAAGTAAAGATATCTCAGGAAACTTTTCCTGCTAAGAATATTCTGGCTTTTTGCCACTAAAAGAGTACAGGGCATTATTTTGGGGACAGAAGTTGAATTCTGCTGGACAGGACATGGTCTTACCAGAGCTAGGTGACAGGAAAGGCTTTATGTCTATATAGGACATTTGAAGTAAGAGAGGAAAAGAGATGATGGAGAGGAGGAAGAAGTTATGTACTTTCCTCTTAGTCTGAACTCACATAAATTTTTGTTCTGCTGTCAGAACCTCATCTTCTAATGGGGGAGAAAATCTGCTGGGAGGTCATGAAGGAAGCAAAACAGTATCATCCTGTGTGTTGACATGGGGATAGGCAGAAAAGTGATATATACTCCTGGGTTGCAGTCTTTGCCAATCTACGGTGGTGTGACTGGGACACCTTGTAACAAGTGTAACGATGTCTATTATAGAGTATTTTTTCTCCATCAGAACCATTTTGTATGTAATTCACACACATTGCTAGTCTCAAATGCATGACTAACCCAGCTGAAGATTCCAAAAGGACCAAAGTCTCATTTTAGACAGCATCCAGATTATTTAAAAATCTGAAACTAACACCTTTTAAAAGATCTGAATTAATTTAAGTGTATAGGCCAAGGTGTTCTGTAGCATTCATGAATAAATTTTCACTGATCTTTAAGTCAGGACCTTATTCTTCCAATAGTTTTTAAAATAACACCCTTAGATGCCTAGTCAGTTAGGTACTTTGAAAACAGGAGTTGCATAAATCACATAACCAGTTTTTTAGCCATCACTCTGAGTGTTTTGCTGTTACAACAAAATAATTGGAAGCTTCATTTATTTTGTGTGGCTTGAATAATGATTATAAAGTAAACTGACGTTTCTGCAAATATTAGAAGCTTAAAATTGAACATTTAAAATTTAATTTGATAATTTTCAGCAATTGCAAATAAAACTTGCCCTATATAATTTTTTTTTAAATAATTGCAAGGTGTCTCTAGCATTCTGATAGTGTTGCTTTGATATTGTTATTATTACATTATGGTAACAGCATTCTGTGTGGGGTAGCTGAAAAATTTGTTATTGAGCAGCTTGTAAATAAACTTTTCTTACGTTTTATTAAAACTCCTTCCTCTGTAAATAATCAAAAATCTATACAAGTCATTTGAATGCCTTAAAGCAGTGATTCCAAATATTTTTCTTCAACATCTTTTACAGTGTATTTTTCAGTTCCTCCTGGATGGAGGACTTTATAACTTTTGGAGTGAGGAGACAAGGCACACAATGTTTTCTGGAGAGCAGGTCACCAGGAGAGACAAGGAGACAAGGGGGAGATTCAGCTGGGAGGCAGTGGCCAAGGCATGGAGGGGACAAATGGGACAAACAGACAAAGCAGCACAGAAAGCTGGACGACAGGGAGCGCGAGATCCCATCGCAGGAGTTTCTCCTGAGCATGCAAGACTCATCAGGATAAAATTTACAGCTCACAAAAGACACGGATTCCCTCCAGACTCTGCTGCACCATCTCCAACCCCTGAACAAATACTCCATTCCCCCTTTTCTGCTCTCCACAACCTCAGGGAAGATGATCGGGTCTCTCTCTTTGAGTACCTCTGTCTCAGAGCAAAGTAAAAAAAGAATCCTCACAGAAGACAAAATCTTACCTCAACAATATCCGAATTCGTTCGACTCTCATGTGGCTCATTGTACTCGGTGTATTTGAGCAACACTTTGTCCATATCAGTGCTGGCATACTGGAACAGTTTGTTGGTGCTGTTGAAGATGATCAGAGCAATCTCACAGTCGCACAGAACACTCAGCTCATAAGCCTTCTTCATTAACCCAAATTTCCTCTTTGTAAATGTCACCTGGAAAAAAAGAAAAAAAAGGTCCGTCAAAAATCCCCAAGCTGATCTTTGTAGTCCTTCTTTTTTTGGAAATAAAATGTGTGATTGCTATAGTCTTTGAATTGAACACGTTCAGACGGCAGATATATAAATATAAATATAATTCCAAAATAGAATATGTGTGTGTGTTAGGTAAGTGAGGAAATATACCTAATTCTCACTGCACAAAACTCGAGATACAGGTAAAAAACATGGGACATCTTCATCAAGTAGCACTGTGAAATGTTTATACTGCATCTTTCTCTGTAACTTTAAAATTCATAAGCTTTTTATACTGCATACATCTTTCCCATCAATATTTTAAAACTGCACCTCGTTCGTGGCTGTAAATAGTTTGAACATGTGGAGTCAATTCTTATTTTTGATAGCGATTGACATTGATTCCATGCCCCCCAACTTCTGCTAGATTTTCAGTGGAAAAAATTATTTGATACAGAGTTTATGTTGTGTGAAACAGATACGTATTTCGTATAAATACACTCACAACAGTTTTGAAGAAATATCTAGTGTTAAAAATTCAAACACTCATGTGAGAAATGAGAAAAACAAAGCACGAATGAAGAACAAACAATAGTTGGCCAGCAACAAATGCCACCTTTGAAACAAGGTCTTTCCTAAACACAGATGTAGCATACTTTATTTCATTTCAAATTAGATGCTTAGAAATATGAACTGGCATTTTTTAGTACAAAGGACTTCAGGTCATATTATATAGGAAAAAAATAGGGATATGCTGATAAGTACTCGGTAGGCCAGCTAATGCCCTGACATCATGCAAAACCTAGGCAGTATGAAAAATTTCGTTACTCTGTACAAAACCATAATTTTCCACAGGGACTGTTTTGACAACGAAAGACCTGCATGTCGAATAATTTTTTTTCTTTTCTTTTCTTCACTAGCTTACAAGTTCCAGTGAAACATGTGACCCAGAATGAGAAACTACCGTGAACTGTTTAAGCTAATTGTATGGTTGAATTTTTCTCCTTCTTCTGTTTCTTTATTTATGCAATTTCCATTAAGTGTATACGATGACTAGGATTTTTTTTACATCTATTTTTTTCTCTAATAATTTTCAGTGACAAGAGAACATAAGATGAAAATACGGTTTTGCTACGCCCATTATTAATCAAACGTAACATGTAGTCAAGGTATTTGATATGTCAAGGACAGGCATGGAACCAAGTTCATAGGTCTGCCTAATCCTGCACTTGTTGCTACCATTCCTTAATACCCATAAGCAGTAGCACCTCTACACTTTAATGCTGAGGCAAGAAGATTCGTCTGTACATGGTTCATATGGCTGCTGTTCTATCTTGTCACGCTCCTAATGCAAGTTAATGCTAACTGCGACCCCAGATTACCTTAAAATCCTAGCACATCAGGCCATGGAAAACGTGACCTTTAAGTATTGCTAATCCCTATTTGCTAGTCCATCTCAGAAAGATGAGGCTCTGTGCCAACACTATGAACATTTATTCTCCCAAATGTATACTGCATGTTATTCCTCTTATTGTCATTTCAATCTCTTTAGCCTCTGTCAACATACTGTTAAGAAAAGATGGATTGCCATTAAATACAATTATTCAAGCATTTTAAAAACAGACTTTCCACAGCACTGGTCTCAAGTATGTGTAATTGATAGTAAGTTCTTTCTAAATTTGTCTGTCTCAATGGCTGTTGATATTTGGAATGAATAATGAGATAGGTAACAAAACTTCATTCACATTCTGAAAAAAACCCTAGTCTTTCAAATACTCCTTTAATGTTTTCTCTGATTACTGAAAATTGCAATACATTTGTTGAAACATACATATATAAAAGCATGTTTTAGAAAAAGCTAAACATACAGAAAATAAAATGTACTAACTCAACATATTTTTCTGCATCTAAAATGCCTTTCAATCAGCTTTCTGACCACAGTGCAGTAGGTGGAGTGTCTCTGTACAGTATGGTTTCTGTTGCACAGAAACCTCAGAATTTAGCATGTTACAGCTTCTTACCATCAAAGTACACTCCAGTACAGAAATATCTTTAAAGCCACTGTTTGTGTTTACTGTTAGGTGCTCCTGAACATTTAGAATAACCACACAGCTGTGCTGCATAGCACACACTTATTTCATAATACTTATCACCAGAATGGTACTGGTTAGAGTTCCTTTTTGTGGAAAGTGAAAAAAAGAACAAATCATCTAGACCATTTTTTTTTTTCTTTCTTTAAAATATAATCTTAATTGCTCGGAATTTGATTTGTTTTTAACTCCTTGATCTTTCTAACATTTTCTAAATCTATCAGATAATGCTTTCTGCCACTGCTGATAAATGCATTAAAAAAATTGTTTCTACTACTGTTTCTATGGTGATCTGGAATATTACTTTTCTTTTTAAATACGCCATTCATTGCGGCTTATCTTTACATATATTTTACAAATATATATGTAATTTATCATGCTTTTACAACAGTTCATAGTAGGGGTGAACTTGTATTTTCAAATGTATAGTGAAAGGTCAGTAACTTCAGGGAAGATTACGAATATTCTTCAAGCCATTTAAAAACAATGATCTTTTTTCATACTTTCTTCTACATGGCTACATAAGGAAGATGAATATACTTCTCTTCCATATGCTAAAATACCTTGTGAGCAATACAAGTAGACAGCATCTTTATTACTTAACTTTTTTTGCGTCTCAGTTTGTTAACCATTTGTTACATTAACCATACTCACCCAAACTAAAAGTATATAATAAATATTGTCTAAGCTAATAGATAACATTTTACTATAGCAGAAATTTTGTTGAGTGATGAAAACTAGCATAAATTATTTAAAATGTTTGGTCTCTTTTGTCTAGGTGGAAGGCAGTGTGCAACCTACGCTTTTAAGAAGCTTTGACTACACTTGAACTGACTCAGTGCTGAGAATGAACGAGACACACACAGTCCACACGAACACAGCTTTTGAGTAGCTGTAGCCACAGTAACAAAAAATCCAGGTGGTGACATAAGCCTTACTGTCATACACTGCATTCAAAGTTCTCAGTCATGGTAGCATCATATAACAAGGGACAATGTCATTTTGTCATTTGACATAAAGAACACCAGTGAGAGTGAAAGAAAACACACATACAGAGAGACAATCCATCAACATATTTGAAAAAAGAACATCCAAAAAAATGCATGCATTTCAATATCTGATTAATACTTAACTTTTTTTTTAGCAGCAAGAATCAAATCTCTACATCTTCTTTCCTGACAATATTAGTCAAGATATGATTAATTATCCCTGCAACCTAAACCACTGCTAATTTGTAAGCGTTTTTCAGTTCACAATTTTTCTCCTCTTTAGGCGAATGATAGGCAATTTAGGAAGTCCTCCTTTCTGGGGGATATTTTTTATAATGACAATGTGAGAACTGGGGAAAATGAAAGTGGAATGGAGGGAGGAAGTGGAACAGATGAGAGGCCAGCATTCAACTGTCTTTAAAACCTTTTTAAGCATGTGTATATAAAATAAGGTTGGGAACACTGTCACAGTTTCTAAATACTGTTATGAGGTGCTTTTATGCATGGTTTTATAGGTATTGCAAAAACAACAGTGTGTGGAGAGCACCATTTTACCTCTGAAACATCAAAAAAAATAACCCAATTCCATCCCTTCATATTAGCTGGAAACCCACTAGTCTATTACTATTTGTCTTAGGACTACGGCTATTTTACTTATTTAAAGGTTATTTTTAAAATTTGTGGTACCAAGAAGGCAGGTTACTAAGGTCTGCAGCATTTTTGTATATGAAGAAGCATAAATGCCGATGACTTTATAGGCTGTGAGCACATCAGGTGCTGCTTTCAAGTACTGGGAAAACAACAAAAAAAACCCACAACAGTGAAGTAGCCAGCTTCCAACTTCCTTGATATAAATCAAGGTGAGATTTGTATGCAGTTTGGATGAAATTCTGACTAAAGGTGAAACCCACTGTATGCGCTAAAGTAAAGGCATTGACAAAAGAGGGTTGTTAAAAAGACATTTTCCCACTTCAACTCTTGCTTGTCTTCAACACCATGGAAACACCTCTCCACCAGCTCTTCATGCATAAAGCTGCAAGAGTCTTCTGAGAGGTGGTTCATGGACTAGTCATTGCAATGTCTGTAAGTGGGGCTGTAGACAGCCTGAATTCAAGTGGGCATATCACACACTGTGGTATGCTTCATTTAGAGGAAAACTTGGCCCAGAGCAGCCTTTCTTGTTTAATTGCTAGCAGGTAAAACTTACCGAAACTAAATAAACTAGAAGGTAACGTTGCTTGGTGGTGAGTATAAATTGTTTTCACATGCTGAAAGTTAAATTTAAATGTGTGTGTGTGTGTATGTGTAAATGGTAACAGTGGCCACAGGTAATAGCCTTTATTTAGCTAAATTTGTAACAAGGATGTGCTTCTTATAGACGTTAATATCTCAGTAGAGGAAAAGAAGCAGCCATAAATTCTCCCACCTAATGAACAAAGCCTTCAGGATACATTATTTATCTTTGTTGCAATGCAGTCTTTGTTCCTTTCTATATTTTTTGGTGGAATTTTGTTTGGGATTGTTTTATTTCACTTTATCTCTGTTTTTGATTCAGGTCCTTCTAGTACTTTTTCTGAAATGGCACATACTCCGAGAGGCTGAGCCATAATGGCACTCTGTATCTGTCACTAACGGTTGCAGAACATGTGCTAGCATTATATGGTTTGAAAGTAGCAGTCCTGTGATCTTTCAAGCAGTTCAGTCCAGCCAGTGGCAAAAGATCAGTGTTCCCCTTACTTCTTCCTATCCTGATTATAAAGATATATAGCTGCTGATACAGGAAAATGAGAGAAACAGGGAATTTGCACATAATCTTTCCTAAATACATTTCCTGCCATTAAATATGTATGAGTGACTAGCAAAAATCAGGGAACGCTGATACACAGAATTATCTGATATAGAC